TGTGAACTTTTCAACAGAGGGCTCTGCTATAGAAAAATCTGCTGTAGCCCACAATAAAATATTTCCTACAGGAGCCAGCTGCAGATGGGCCTCAGAAGTAGCTGATCTCTGTTGACGAACGGGAGCCTTTCCCACAGGCTTCCCCTGGAAGGGAGATGCTCTGAAGCCTTCTCGCCGCCGATAACGCCGGTGCACGGCAGGAAGATGGGCAATGAGATAAGGGCCTCACGGTCCTGCTCCGTGGTTTGCTCCTCCGATGAACTCAACCCATTCAAGCCAAACAGTCTTAGCAAGTCAAATGCAAGGAGCAAGGAGCGGGTTGTGGACTTCACATACCAAGTGGGAGGATAGAAAGTTCAGAGCGTGCAATTTTGGGATATTTAAATAGGGAGGAAGAGATGCGAGATGACATCTCCTCTGGCTACGACCTGGCTGATGCAGAAGTCCTGCCTGTGTTCCTGTGTTTTGTTTTGTTTTGCTTTGCTTTGTTTTGTTTTAATGAAGACATGAGAGAAGATGTAGAAAAGGACCACCGCAAGGAAGCCAGGTCATGGGAGAGAACAAGAGCACACATGCCTAGTCTGGTTATCTAAATGAAAAAGAAATTAAGGGGTGTATGAGTGTTTTCCTAAGGCTGCAGGAAAGCTAATTTCAGTTGTTGTAGGTAACACTGAACATTTACAGGGGAGAAACCAACCAGGTACAAACTCTGCAGCCTGCTGCTGCCTCGGAGGACGCGTTCTAACAGAGTAAAACCTCCAGCCGCTTCTCATCGTGTTCCCAATCTCTCTGGCTTGGCAGAAGGAAGATGCATCACAGGTGTCGGAGACCTCACCCTGGGAAACAAAACCCTCAGACACGCCCTTTGATCCCCTACAGCTATCTCAACGTACCTATTCGTCTCGGCGTACCCCAGGCAGGCGTCCCGCAGCACATGCTTGGGATACCTGCCCCTGCTCATTGCCCTCCTATCAGTTCCGCCTTTGCCGAGGCATTAAGGCCACGTAACGGATCGTTATCCGTGTTTGATCTCAGAATTATCTTAAAGCAGTCGGTGTTAACGCGGCCGGACTTTGGTAATGTTTTATGAAGATAGCTGATGCTGAAGTATCCTTATTGCTCTGTCTACACCCATTTTAATCTAGCGCCTTTTACACATTGAGATTTATTGTTTTACCACTCCATTAACAAAATCATACACCTTAATCTAAGGTCCTATGACTCCTTTCCCTACACTAACTGACAAAACCCTTAACTAGGTCTCTCTGGAGCCTAATTGCTTCCATTTCAATGCTAAATGTTTTAACATAGACAACAAACCAATGGCTAAATTCCAAAGCCAGATAAACCCACGTAGGAACGATCACGCTTCCTCAACGAGGAGCACATTTCACCATCAGAACCAACCAGCTACGGGATAAAACCCTGCTGCTTTATCTCCAGATCAAGACTCAGTTCCTTTCCACGAGAGGCGTTGCTGACAAAACCCAGATTTGGCATCTGGCGTAGGAGTAAGTGGGCAAAACCTTTAGGGATGAGGTGGGAGAGCAGCCCCGTGGAGGGGTGACTGCCCATTCCCTCCTGATCCCCCCTGGCTGGGCTGCACCTCCGTCTGCTTCACCCCGACCTGGGGGTGAGTGGGTGGCTCCTGACATCAGGGACAGAGCTCATCCAGCCTCTCACCATGCTTGAGAGAAGTCTCCTCAGCTGGCAGCCTTGTGGTAGCTACACCAGGGTTGTTATCTCACAAGAAACCCCGTGTTTTGTTCACCTTCAGCTGCCACCTGGAAGCATCCCTCAGTGAGGCTTTGCTCCAGCCGGCAGGCCTCGCCTTGTCCCTCTGGTTGTAGCCACATCCCTGCCATCTCCCCCCTTTTCTCACCACCATTTCTGGCTGCCCCACAGTGATGCTGTAACATGGACGTGAGGAGTTTTGCCCTGAGGGGACAGCGGTGTTGCCACATTTATCTCCAGCGACTCATGCGGAGTGCGTCAAACCTGTCCTGAGCTTTCCATGGAGGCCTGCTGAGGGCGAATGCTTTGCCCTCCAGGCTGTTGTGGAAGTGATCTTTAAGTCTTTGGCCCTTGGTTTCCAAAAGAATAGACTTTTATCTCTATACTGAAGTGACATCAAGCTCTCCTTGTCTTTGGGTTCTCCAGAGTGTGAGAGAGGCTGTGGGGGGGGGGGGCATTAGCTGCTGCTTTGACACAAAACATTGAGGGCACCCAAGGCATTGAGGGCACCCAAAGCACTCAGGGCACCCAAAGCAAGGGATCATCGGCTAGGATGATCTCCGTGAAGCACGGTGACACCAAAGCAGGGCTCCCACCGGGGCCCACATGGTGTGGGTGTGCGTGCCTCGGGGGGCAGCACAGCCCCCGTGCCGTTAATCAGCACCAAATGTGCGTGCGGGGCGAGCAGGGGGAGAGCCTTCGTCAGACGACAGCGACCGCCGCTGCGGAAACAGCCTGGCTATTGTCTGAGAGCCGATTTTCCCCTCGCAGTTTACTACTTTTTACTGCTTGGTCTGGCCTGGGAGGGCTTTATTGCTCCAAACGGAGCCGGGAGTTTGCTCTGAAGGCAACACGAGGAGCCTCCGAAAGCCTCGCGTCTGCGTGTAGGTGTGTGAGCACACCTTCGTGCACGCACGCCCATGCGCGTGGGCACCAGCACACGTGTGCAGAGCTCTTCTTCTGCGTTTCAGCCTCAGGGCCGGGCTTTCAGCAGCAGGAGGCTGAGCCCCGACCTCTCCTGCTGCTTGCTTGCAGCCCTCCCGTGGCCTCGGGAGCGGCAGCAGGCACGCCGGCCGCACCACGCCACGGTTCTGCCGGCGAGGAGGCCTTTGAGAGGCCGGGATAATGGCTAATAGTGCTGTTTTCCCCTGCTCTGCTTTCCTTCAAGTGAATTACCAGGGCCTTGCTGGGAATTATCCTGCCATTACCCGGCGCTCTGGGGAGCTGCCAGTGATTTACTTAACAGCAAACAACACAAAGAGCCGGACACGGCGGGAGCTACGCTGCCGAGCAAGCTGGGGAACGTGCGAGTGGAAGAAAAACCTCGTAGGAACCACCAGGGCACGGGGCTGAGGCCGGAGATGGGCACTCGTTACCCCAAAGCTTGGTGGGCACAAGACCGGGGCACCCCACTGCAAGCAGCGGGGCTCCTTGCACACCCGTTTCCTTGCACGCTCACTCTCTGCTTGACATTTTGTGACCCTTTTTAGCATGCCAGGACAATTTGTTCTTCTGGAGCCCGTCTGTGGTGTGGAGATGAAGAGCAGGTCCGTGCTGTGCCTGGGGACAGCGCTGCCACCAGGGTAGGGAACAACAGCCCCCAGGGAAAACATGCTTGTCCCCAAGGCAGCCCCGGTTCCCAGGGGATGGAGCGGGGGCTGTGGAAGTGCCCCCCTGGGTTAGGGCCGGGGGGAGCAAGGAGGAGGCAGGGGGAAACAGAGGCAGGTGAAGTGTCCACCAGCAAGGCGTCCCCACAAAGAGGTGAGCACTGCACCTGAGAAATAATCGAAAGGAGAAACAAACAGACAGACAAACAAACAAACTTCTGAAGTTAGAGGGTGCAGTAGGGTGCCTGAGCATCCCGGCTTAGCTGGGGACAGGCCTGAGATCCCGACTTGTCCCAGCGTCCCAAATGACATCCTTGACCTGGGTATTAGAAATGGTAGCCCAGACAGTGCCTTGTAGGCAGGGATCTTCCCTGTGTGCCCACCCTGGTTTGTAGGGCTGTAAATGCATCCTCTGTTGGCTCTACATGACACAGGGGACACGCACCCATCCATGACCCACCTGCGTGGTGTTTCCCCTTATATCCCACTTAGACCTGCCTTGGGTCACAGCGGTGTGAGGAGCATCCTAATCCCAAATCAGAAAAACCCCCTCTCGAGTCCACTCAGCCATGAGATGAGACAGCCAGATCGGGGTGAAAATTAACCCCTGCACACCAAAAAAAAAAAAAAAATAAAGGGCAGGATTTGTTTTCAGCCCGACCTGTCCCCTAAGCGAGGCTGGCGGCTCCTTTTGGCAGCCATGCAGGTTTCGATCGACTCGAAGCCACCGTGCGATCACAGCCTGAACTTCCAGTGACTCACCCGGAGAAGGGAAACTTCCTGGCTTGTGTGCTCCAGCATTTCTGGAAAAACTGCTATATTTGGCGTGGAAAATAGGAAGGATTCCTCCGGCCACTCCAAATGGGAGCAGCAGGAATGACTCAATGGGCAGTTTCAGAGCACCGAGCGAGGATGCTCCCCGAATTATTCCTCGCGACTCCCCACACCGCCCGCAACGGCCTCAACACCGCGCACAGGGCGACCCAGGCTCCACCAGGAGCTGGGATTTATTGCTGCGAGAGCCACCCTGCGGACACACTTTGGCTGTGTGCTGTCGACTCCGGACCTTTTGGGCTGCTTCCCGTCTGTTTACCAACAACCACAGCTCCCGGAGGTGCGGCATTGTGCTTATCGCTACACGTTGACCCAGCGTGAAAAATCTGCCAATTTCTATGTTCCTGACATCAGTAGCTAGAAATGCATTTCTTGCCGGCTTCAAACACTTTCAACTGTTTCATCTACTATGCTGGGGAAAAAAATAAAAAGAGAAGAAACTACTCTTCTGCAAATTACTGAAGTTGGTGGAGGGGGGGGGCTATTTCAGAGGACTGGGAGTGGATTCTGCTCCTCTCCTCTTCTCCTTTTTTTTTTTTTTTTAAATACTTGTCCAAATGGTGATTCAAAGAGCTTGTTCATTCGACACCCGAGCTGGTAAATGAAAATCGTTATTAACGCAGATCATAACGGCATCACCTGAAAGAAAAAAAAAAAAAAAAAAGATGTGAATAAATCCCGAGGGGGGGGAAAAAAAAAAAAAAAAAAAAACTTTTCATGAAAAATCAGTTAAAAAGAAAGAGAGGCCTGCAAACATTTTCCATTGGATGAAACGCCAACCGCCTCCTGGTTAGCATAAATTAAATTACATATTCAATTTGGTCATGCACCACTTTTATTGGCAGATTCAGCATCGACAAACAAATATGTCTAGCGCAGGGAGATGCCTCACCCCGCAGCCCGCCAGATCCCGCAGCAGCTCCGCCTCGCAGCTTCGGCCGGGAAAACCTCCTCCTGCTGCGGGGCTGATGCCCGGGATGCCCGCTGACAAAAGGGCATTTGTCTGGTTTGTTGTTAGCCTGTAAATTTTTCAAGCTGCTCCCCATGCCAGGAGGCTGCCGTGGCAGGAGAGCTGCCACTTCGTTGGCCTGGAGCTTGCTGCTTTCTGGTGGCCCCACGCTCTTGCGGAGGGGGCTCTGCTTTGCCTCCCCGATTGCAGCCCCTGGAGGCTCGGTAGCTGCTGGAGACTTCTGGGCCATCAATTATTTAATTCCCTCCAGCCATGTGGTCTTCAGCCCTGCACGCTCGCCTCCTCCCAGCGCACAAGCCCCCGCGGATGGCAGCGGGGCCGGGCAGGGGGACGCAGTGCTGGGAAGCAGCACACGGGGACGGTCCTGGCAGCTGGAGCATAGAGCCGAGGGCTTTTCTTCCCATTTCCTCGGGTCGCAAACTGCCTCCCCGCTCCGTGCCTCGCCTTCCCCACCTGTAAAATGGGAGCAACGATTTCACGAGCGGAGCGAAATGAGGTGCGAGCGCCGGTGGCATCGACCATCCGCCACCGCGGCACAGGAAGATGTTTGTGCTTTGCAATATCAGCGGCGCGGCTCCCAGCTCTGCTGCAACACCACGGTGAGACCTTAGCCCATCGGCCAAGGTCCCCGCTGGCCCCTCTCGGGCCCCTTCTCGCTCTGCTCGCGCCTCTCGAGCTAAACCAGGCGGGCACGGCGCGGCGGGCAGGAGCGGCAAGCCGCGACAGGCGGGCAGGCTGGAGCCGGGTAGGTGTGTCCCTCTTACCCAATAAATAACACAAGCCCTAAAGCAGCCCATTGTAATTACGGGGGCCCCGCGCGGATTGAAAATGAAGAAGGGGGAGAGGAAAAAAGAAAAAAAAAAAAAGGAAATCGAGGTTCTGCCTTTCCGAGGAGGGAGCGCTCTCCGCTGGGAAAGCGACGGAGGGGGAGCGGTGATTTATATCTCTCCGGAGGAATTCTTCTTCCCAGGGCCGCCCCGAGCGCCAAACCGCCGCCAGGTTCAGCTGAGTTTCTAATCTGAATATTCATGAGCCAGTAATTAATTCTCTCAGATAACAATCCAGATTCGGGGTTGGTTTGGTGAGTGTATGTGTGTGTGTGCGTGCATGCGCGCGCACCTCCTCCCAGGTGTGCGAGGAGGGATGAGAGGAGCAAGCGGTGGCTCGCCACGTGGCCGTCCCCGCTGCACGACGTCCCCTGGCACCCCATGGCCCTTGGGGACACCCCACTGGGGACAGCGGGAGGAATGGGGACAGAGGACAGCGTGCCGAATGCCAGGGTGCAGTCCCTGCCCCGCTGCACGTCCAGCCCCGGGTGAGCACAGGGATGTTTTCCCTCCTGCTAAGCAAATCGCAAAGACCTCGTGTTTGCAAAGCACTGGGAGAGGCAGGGAGGGAGAATCCGGCCTTGCCTCCTCCCTCCCTTTCTTTTCTTTTAAATCTCTTCTGTGCAGCCCTTTGAGCACCCGGGCAGGAGCCCTGAGGAGCGAAACTCCACCTCTGGCACCGGGACCCAGGCGGGGTGTGGGTGTGTAATCGCGGTGCGATGAGCCCTGAGCCTGATCCGTGGTGTTGCACACTTGGGCTTGAAGTCACAAGTGACCTTCAAATGGAGGGGGTGGACAGAAAAATAATTTAAAAAATAATAATAATAATAATAAAGAAAGGGAAACAACTGCTTCCCAGCCTTACCAAGCCCACCCGTCTCATCCCCCTGCCTCCAGGACAGGCTGCCCCCATGCCCTGCTCACCCTTCCCTGGGGAGAAAGGCAATAATCAGCTTTGCTGCCTCTAAACCCGGCTGGCGGGCAGCTGGGTGGGGAAGGACAGGGCTCTGAGCACCGGCTCTGGTGGCACGGTGCCACCACCTCGGTGTCCATCATCGTCCCCCAAGTCGTGTCCCCACCCTGCCCGCGGGCAGGAGCAGAAGCAGCAGTGCCAGGGGGGTTTGTTACCCTCAGCCTGGCCCTGGCAGCTGCAGAAAGGGTGTTCCCATGCCCTGGCCCCAAACTGGTGGCTCCCTGCAGCCATGGAGAAGCCACGGAGCATCTTGGACATCAAGGGACCGTGGTGTCATTGCCTGCTGGGGTCAGGGCACGGTCCTTGCCCCACATCCTCCGCTCCTTGCGGATAACCCTCCCCAGCAAGATGTCCTCGCTGCGGGCTCATGCTTGGAAGCGGGGACATCAGTGGGACCACGCCACGTCCCCGCAGAGCAGCCGAACGTCCCAGGTCCCGCCGAGGGAGCCCTGCAAACATCTCCCCGGGGTCGGTTAGCGCGGGGCCGGGAAACGCCAGTGAGTCAGAGCCCTGTTTTGTAAGCGCGTGTAGGAGCAGGGATGGCCGTGAGCTCAAGTGTGGGGCCCGCCTGGGCCTTTTGCAATCCTCTGGGGAAAGGCGAAGGCTGTGTCTCCAGCTCCTAATTAAAGGCACCGCAGAGAGCTGCTCCCGTCCCTGCTCGGCTCACGGGGACGCACGGAGGAGGTCGGCCCCGTCCTGGCCGTGGTGGCCGGCGTTCCCCAAGCGTGGCCTCTGCCTCCTGCGGCAAGGTCTCACAAAGATGCTTCTGGCACCCACGGGGCACGGCGCCGCCTGCCCCCTCGCCCTTCGGGGCACAGAAGGTGACACAGCCAGGATGTCATCTCCGCTGGCTTCACGTCCCGCATCGCCAGCCTGACCTAGAAACACCACCGCATCTCGTGCCGGAGCCCGGCGATGCTGCAGGCTCATCCCTCTGTTTTTTCCAGAGCGCCTGAGTGACAGTCGCCCCTCCCCTGCCTCTCCGAAAGAGCGTAATGAGAATTTCCTCCGAAGGAGCAGCTTGCCGCGATGAAATAATCGCCCCAGCAGCAGGATCTTTGCCGGGGATTAGAGAGACAGCTACTTGCTGAGCTAGGGAAACGGCCGGCGAGGAGGGAAAACTCCGACCGCCTCCTCCAGCACCGCCAGAGCCATCGCCTCCCGCAGACGACGGCGGAGCAGGGCCAAGATCCCGGGCAGAGCTCAGCCCTGGAAACTTCTGTCCCGCTGCCGGGGCACTTTTGCAAAGTCCCCTTCAGCCTCCTCCTTTTCCTCCTCCTCCTCCTCTCGCCGCAGCCCGCGGAGCCGCTCCCCAGCCTGGCGGCGGGGAGGGGTGGAGGAGAGGTGAAGCGGCAGCAGCTGCCTTTTACAGGCAACAGTTCTTTTTTTTTTTTTTTCCTTGTTTCTTTTTGGACTGCTGAGGCATAAAATGCCAAGCGCTGGCTGCCTCCCTCCTCCTCGCATGCACCAGCCGTCCCGCTACGGCCGCGGCTCCGCTCTCCTGCGCAGTTTTGCTTTCACTCCGGGCTCGGTTCTCTCCCCACCACCACCCCCCTGCCTTCTGTGTGGGATCCTGGCGTGAGCGTCCCTCGAGGATTCCTCCTTTTCTTCCCCAAACATCCCGCATCGCTTTTTTTAACTCTTCCTCTCTATTCCAAGCCTTTTCGAAACGTGGGAACCGAGCCCAGAGGAACATCCCTCGTTCGCGGAGTAGGCACGCGTTGAAGCCAAGTTAGAGCAGAAGTGCTTTATTTAGGGCCAGGCTTTTTTTTTTTTTTTTTTTTTAATTATTTCCTTTCCTCTTTCGGACGCAGAGCCCCAGCGGCCTCCAGCCTCCTCCTCGGCCGTGGCAGAGGGCGCTGCTGCCTCCAGCAGCGAGCAGACATCCCGGGGCGTGCGTGCGGCCCCGTTCTTCGCCTGGGCACGTGGAGAAAGCCCTGGCCCCTCTCCTACGCAGCGAGGGAAGCCCTGGCCGGAGGCCCCAGGGGTCGGAGGCCGCAGCCTCCAGGCCCTTGAGGCCTCGACCCCGCTGCGGCTGCCTCAATCCCGTGAGGTGAAGGACGCCGAGGCTGAGGAGGAAAGCCCTCCGTGGTGTTAATGAGCAGCACCCAGCCCGTGGCATTGCTGTGTCGTGTGTGTGGGTGTGGGGGACACTTGGGACACTTGAGGCCCTTTGGCCTCCACGCCCAGCTATGGGGCGCGTGTGAGGGGATGGGGTGGGATAGGAGAGGCTGAGAGCCTCCATGCTGCCTCCACACAGCGTGAGGGCAGTCCTGGGGCTCCTCCAGAGCCCCCCTGGAGGTGTGGAAGGGGCTGGGGGGAGGCACGGCCCGCCCGCAGGCAGGAGAGGCGCAGCCCCCCTCCTCCCCCGGGGGTCGCGCCCCGCGCACCCCCGCCAGTCATTCCCAGCTCCGCTCCAAAATCCCGCCGCGGGCCCCCCTCCGGGTTTTCAAACCTACTCCGTTTTCGACGGGCAGGCGCCTCAGCCAATAGGAGGCCGCAAAGCGTCAGCACAGCGTTCGCCCGGCGCTGCCGACCAATCCGCGTCGCGCGGGCCCTATGTCCCGCCCTCCGAGGACAAGTCCTGCCGACTCGCGCCCCGGCCCGGCGGCCATCTTGAGTGTGGCAAAGGCGCTCCTCCGTCTGGGGGGGCTCTTCCTTGTTTTTTTTCCCCTTTCCACCGCTCCCCTCACACCGGATCCCGCTTCCCTGCGGCTCCCCCGTGCCCGCGGGGCCGTCGGTGGCGGCGGAGCGGCTGTGGGGGAGCTGCGGAGCCGTGCGGCTGCCCCGCGAAGCGCTCCCGGCGCCATCTTGAGTGTGGCAGAGCCCCCTCAGTCAGCGCCCCGCTGCCCCGTTACCGAGCGGGGGCCGGGGGTGAGGGGGGGGGGCGCAGCCCCGGTCAGCAGGGGGGCAGCAGGGGGGGGGTCCCGCTGTACCGGGGGGGGGGGGGGCAGAGCGGGGGGAGCCCCCTCAGCGCGCCCAGCCGCCGCGCGTGTGTGAGGCGGGGGTGACGGCGGGGCGCCCAGGCGGTGTTTTTCCCTGTTTTTTTAAAGTACAAAATAAGCAAATCGCTGGGAATCCCGCATTTCGGCGCGGCTGCACCCCCCCCGTCCCCTAAATCCCCCCCAAATCCCCCCTAAATCCCCCCCCCCGCTCGGTAGCGGCGGTCGTTGGGGCAAACTTTCCTGAGGGGAGCTCCCCCAGCCCTACGTGAGGGGGACCCCGAGGTTTTAGGACGAAAAGCTCGAGTTTTGTGCGTGTTTTCCTTATTATTTTGAGGGGGGGGGCAGCACCGTTTATTTATTACAGCCCTTTTATTATTATTATTGTTATTATTTTTAACTCTCCTTCTCCTGCACGCCTCCGCGGGGGCTGAGGGGGGAGGAAAGGGGGCAGCGAGCCGCACCCCCCCCTCATAACCCCCCCTATAACCCCCCCCTCATAACCCCCCCCCCCTCCACACACACACACGGGGGCCGCCCGCCCGCTCCCCGCCCGCCGCCGCCTCACACGGCGGGGCCCGGGGCGGGGAGGGGAGGAGGGGGCGTGGCCAAGGCACGAGGTGGGCGTGGCCTCGCCTCGCCTCGCCTCGCCCACGCTGAGGCCGGGCGCGAACTCATCACCGCAGTGACCCCCCCCCCCCCCCCCCCCAATCCTATCCCATAGCGAGAGCGCGCGCGCGCGCGCCGCGCCGCCTGCCCCTTTAAGCGGCCGTGCCCATTGTTTGCGCCGCGGCCAATGGGAAGCGGCGGCGGCGGCGCGGGCGGCCAATGGGAGAGGCGCGGGGCAGCGCGCGCGCCGCCCCCGGCTCTATAAAAGGGCCGGCGGCGCCGCGTGAGTCCCCACTGGCTCGCGCAAAGCCATCTTGGCATTGTTCTGCCCGCGCCGCCGCCCGCTCCGCCACAGCCCCGCGCCCCTGCACGCCCCCGCCATGTCCGACACGGCCGTGGACACCAGCGCCGAGATCTCCGCCAAGGTGAGCCCCCCCCCCACCCCTTTTACCCCCTTTCACCCCCCTCCCTCATCCCCTTATTTTTAATTTTTTCCAACAATTCAGCTTTTTGCTCATTTCGCTTTTTTTTTTAATTACTCTTTTTTATTATTATTTTTTAAATCGCGCCTTTTTGCCATGCTCGCTCCGGTTTGAAGTTTACCCCCTCACCCCCCCCCCCCCCCCCTTCCCACCTCCCCCCAACCCCCTCCTTATTTCGCCCTCCGCTCGGTTCCGTGGCGGAGCCGCCGCCGCCGCGCGTTGCTTTCCCCGCGCCCCGTTTCTTTGTCTCCGGCGTGCGGGGGAAAAACGTGCTCGCCCCCGGGGCTACCGGCCCCAGCCCGCCGCCTGGGGGGGGCTCCGGGACTCGGTGACTGATGGAGGAGGAAAGGGGGGGACCACAGGGGAGAGAGGTATTGGGGGGGGGGGGTCCCGGTAGCCGGCCCCGGTGGGGGGCTGGCGGCTGACAGCGCCGTCAAACTTGGAGCTGGTTTGCTGGGGGGGGTCCCTATGGGTTTTTTTTTGGGGGGGGGGGGTTGGTGCTGTTGAGGTGCCCCCCGAGGTGCGAGGGGGTGTTGCGGAGTTGGTGTCGGGGTGTTTGGGGTGCGGAGCCCCCCTGAAAAAGGAGGGTTTGGGAGCGCGGGGCTGCTTGGGGGAGCTGCTGGAGGAGGCGTCCCGTCGGGGGCACCTCTCGGTGTGAAGGGGGGGTGGGGGGGCTCCGGGCCGGTTGCTGGTAGCGGGGCTGGCTCGGTGGGGAGCGGCTCTCCCGGGAGGCCCCGGTGCGGCTCCCGGCGGCCGCCTTTGTCTGGCAGCCGCGGCGGAGCGCCCCGGCCCCCGGGGGCCGCGGGGAGCCGGGCGGGCTGGGGCTCAGCTCCCCGACGGGGAAAGTTGCGGGGGAAGCCGGGCTTGGGGAGGGGAAACGGGAAAAGAACCGGGGGGGAACCGAAGGGGGGAGCGGTCGTGCCCCGGGGGAGCGCCGCGACCCGGCCGCTTACCGGGCACCGTGGGGGTAAAGCGTGGAGGTGAACGAGAAGAGGGAGGAGGAGGAGGGGGGGAAAAAAACGTAACGGAAGGAGAGGGGGGGGTAAAGAAAAAAAAAAAGCCCCCGAGCACCGGGGTTGGTCGGATTTCGATTTCACTTCTGTTTCCCGCTCCGCCCGCCGCCCCCGCTGCGGGGCCGGTGCCGCTCGCACCGAGGGGGCGCCCAGCCGGGGGTGGAGGGGAAGGGGCAGCAGCGGGGGCCGAGCTCCCCGTTCACCTTCCCCTGCCCTTTCCCGTGGTGGGGGTTTAAAATTATAATTAAAAAAAAAACCCTATCCCCGCAGCAAGGTGACCCAAACCGGTTAACCGGGGCTGGCGGCGGGGCACCGGGGAGCACAGCTCCGACGGCTCCGTCCCGGGAGGCGGGGAGGGGAAGGGAAAAGAGAGGGGAGGGCTTTGGGGAAGGGGAGGAGGAGGAGGAAGGAGGGGAAGGGAGGGGGGGGGGTCCCCGCCCTGCCCGGGCGGCGGCTCCGCGCCGAGCGCCGCCCCCGGCCGCTGCCGCCGCCGCCGTGCCGCGGGGCGCCCACCACGTGCGGCCCCGAGCGCCGCGCGGTGCCCCCTGGGAGCCGGAGTCCGCCGGGGGAGAACTACAACTCCCGGCGTGCCTTGGGGGAGGGGGTGAGGGATAGGGGGGTGCAGCCGGGCCCGGCGCGCTGGCGGCCGGCCAATGAGAGGGCGCGGAGAGTGGCGCGCGCTTTTGAAAGGCGGGAGGGCGCGTGGCGGCGCGCGGGGCCCCCTGCTGGCGGGAAATCGGGGCCCGCGGCGCGGGGGATAAACAGGGCTGGGCGCGCCCCGTAATTAGAGGCGCCGGTAATTAGCTGGAGAAGTCCCGGTGAGCGGGTTCTGGTCGTGCAGAGGGTGCTGGGCACGTGCGTGTTTGTTTCATGCGTTTGTTTGTTTTTTTTTTTTCCCTCCCTCCTTATCCAGGGGGGAGGGAGGCATCGCGGGCTCCCTGCGGTGCTGTTGTTCGTGTGGGCTTCGTGCCGGGGCGTCCCCGTGGGCATTAAGCTGGGAACGTCCTCCCCAGCCCCGAAAAGGTCAGGGCTGGAGCTGCGTCCAGCTGGAGTGCCCAGGAATGAGGTGTTCCCTGACCAGCAGCGCTCGCTGTTGGTAAACGGCTCCTTTCCGAGAGATTCATCGGTCGCAGCGAGACGTGGAAACTCTGACTGCTCCCTGCGCTCAGCGTTTAACTTTGGAAATGTTTGGTCGCGCTCGTGCTGGAGTGCCTGACGCGAGGTAACAGCCGCAGAAGGCGGCGGCGTGGTGGGGAGGGAGAGGCAGAGTGGCTGCGATCTCCCCCTGGGTGTTGGGGGAGCAGAGGTCGGTGGCAGGGTGAGAACTGATGGAGCTGGGCGGCGTGGAGAGGAGCTGGCTGGGGATTGGCATGTGCAGTGGAAACAGGAAGGAGCCTGTTTGTGTTGTGCCCCAGCCTTGTAGGATGCTGATTTGATGGGGTGAGGTTTGATCAACAGGTGTGGTAACCCCGGAGCTGGCTTCAGAAGCAGCGCCCGGTGCTGGCACGCGGCGCTGGGGCAGGGCAGCCCGGGCACCTCCGCTCTGTCCCCGTGCCCAGGGACAAACAACCCGGTGGTCTAAAACCCCTGCGGCGTTTACCCTCGGTGGTTTGAGCCCTCCCCAAACAGAGCAGCGGTCGCGTTCACAGCCCGTACCGGGTGGTGTGTTCCCACGAGGAAGTGACAGCGGCTCAGCAGGAGTGAAAGTGCCCGCAGCGAGCGAGGCGGCCGCAAAGGGCAGGCAGGAGGGGGCGAGGCCGCTTGCTGCAGCGAAGCAGGGAGCTGCCAGCAACTCGAAACACCTCGTGGTCGCTGCCGAAGCCGGCCGTGTGGCTGTTCTGGCCCTGGGGAAGGGCCTCTCTGCTTTCCTTGGCTGGGGTGGTGCTTGTGCTGAAGGATCTCGCTCCAGCTGATGGAGGAACAGAAGGGGAGGAGGATGCGAGCGGAGATGCCAGTGTTAAATCCGAGTGTTCTTTATGCGGGAACATAAAGTTGGATCCTCTCAGCCTGTTTGCCGAGCGACTTGGCATGACATTTTGACAGTGATCAATAGCAAAGAAAAAAAAATAACACACACACACACAAGCTCTCTCGCTCTGCTTGTGGTGGAGGCTTGAACCAAAAGTAGCCGGGCACGGCTCCGGAGCAGCTATAAAAATAGGCTGCTTCCCCCACCCCATCCTGTTACGCTGGGAGATGGATCCCGGAGTCTCCTCTCCGCCGCTACGAGGAAGACCAGGCGTGTAATGCGCGCCGAAGGATTTTTTTCCCCGGGCAGGGCAGAGACCGCAGCCTCTGCTAATGAGTCCCTGGGATTTGTTCCTGCTGTGAAAGCACTGAGAGCAGCCGTGGACGCCTGCGAGCCCCCGGGGCAGCGGAGCCCGTGCGTTGGCCGGGGCTGACGGCTCGCCGTGGCATTGCAGGAGCTTGCGTGGACTGTGCTAAGATGGGCACTCAGCCAGCGCTGCTGCTGCTGCTCGGCGTATGCAGGCAGCCAGCTCCGTGTGCTCGGAGGTGAAACAGAGCAGCCTCTTCTTTAGAGAGCCGCGCTCTGGCAACACGCTCCCTCCTTTCCCCAGGAGGAGCCCGAATGTGGCAACCAAATAAATCCCAGGGCGAGTCGGTGCGAGGAGGGGAGCGAGCTCCCGCGCGCTCTCGGATGGTGTTTTATTTTTTTTCTCACCTGATCTGCACCTTGCCTGACCCAATCGGCTGGAATCTGGGTGACTCTTCTGCTTTTCTGCTCCTTCCAGGATCTAAAAGAGAAGAAGGAAGTTGTTGAAGAAACAGAAAATGGCAGAGATGCACCGGCCAACGGCAATGCTGTGAGTATGGCTGGGTCTGCAGGGGGAGGCAGCCCTCGCTCCAACGGCTTCTTTATTTTTCCTTCCCCTTCTTGCTTTTGCTGCGAGCTTGTCCCCAGCCCTGCTTGAGAGGGAGCCCCTAGAAATGGCACCACTGTGCTGTGTGGAGCCATCGAGGGGTTTTTAGGCTGAGCAGAAGCTCCTCTGAGCATCTATCAGCTGCTGGGTGTGCAGAAAACAAGGTCTGGGCTTGGAAGTCTTGGTCCTTTCCCCAAAAGCCTTGCTGGGTTGT